AAAAAAAAAAAAGTGGTATTATAAATTTGTACAATTTCATATGCCTGGAATTGCTTTAAACTAAAATTTTAAGTCAAAGGCACATCATCCCTTTTGTTTTAAATATTTTTGAAGTACTGTCACAAAATTATTCTACCTTTTTCACTACAGCTTTCCTTGTCTTCATCTAGGTTGTTGGAAGAGGAGCCTTTGGCGTGGTCTGTAAGGCAAAATGGCGAGGAAAAGATGTGGCCATCAAACAAATAGAAAGTGAATCTGAAAGAAAAGCCTTCATTGTTGAGGTACAGTATTTTTCTTTAAGAGGTTGCATCTAGTGTCTTTTGTATCCTGAATTTCTTCCAGTTACTGGTTGCTTATTCTTCATTGTCAAAATGCAGACATAATTTTAAAAAGGATGAAATTTAAAAATTGTGACTATAACATGAAATACTTTTGGACATTTTTACATGTGCTCTTGGCTGGCTACTTTAATTAGTGAGCCATCCTAATTAAAAGTGCCCAAGCATCACATGTATCAGCATCCCCACACTAAAAAATGGCAGCGGGGCACTTTCAACTAAAGCTTATCGAACGTGTTTTATTTCAGAGCACCCTACTGCCATTTTTTTCCAGCATGGGAATTCATGGGGATGCTGATACATGTGACATGGAAGGGTGCCAGAGAGCATCAATTTCTGTGCTCCAGCAGCTTGATTAATCAAGTTGGCTCTGACATGCTGGATTTCCAGAGTATCAGAACAGGCTCTCTGTGCATCTGTCGGAGGTTTGGTGCTTTTTTATTATACTCTGTTCTACAACTTCATACATTACAAATATTAATACTTTCAGTATTTCACCAGTGGAGGGATATAAAGTTTTTAACCTACTTTTATCTAACAAGGTTGAACATCAGACACCACAGTTTAACCAGTAAGAGTAGTATGTTAAGCAACTGTCATTGTTTGTGACAAATATTGTTAGATTGCAAAATGGAGTGTCCCTTGTTAAGGGCAACACCAGTAATAATAACCCAAACTAATAACCCTCCTATAAATATATGTTCTATGGTTTGATCTAAATGTAAACTGTGTATGTGAAAATAAAAATTGAGAATAAATGGAAATTTCTGAGTGGTTATGGTTTGAAATAAAATACAACTTTTGTATTGCAGCTTCGACAGTTGTCACGCGTGAATCATCCTAATATAGTCAAGTTATATGGAGCCTGTCTGAATCCAGTAAGCTATATTTCTTCAGTCTTGATCCTCTTGATAAAACATGCTATAAGCAAGCAGTAACACAAAAAATACATTCAGAAAATAGAATGCTTTAGTATTGTGGCTGTAAAATAGCAGTCATTTTATTAGTAGCTGGGCTCGTGTTAAAAGTAAATTAGAAAAGCAAACTAATTTCTGAATACCCATTAGCATAGGGGCGGGTAGTTATTTTGAGTGGAGGGCTGTTTGCTGAGTTTTGGCAAGCCATTGAGGGCCACATGATAGGCAGCCGGGGGCAGATAAATATTTTTTTTCTAAATTTTTTAGGGCCCACGTGGGCCGCAAAGAATGGCCTGGCAGGCCACATTTTGCCCACCCCTGCATTAGCACTTCATCGTGTTGCTTTTCCCTCTCCTTCCCTACACTGAGGGGGTTTTTTGGTTTTGTTTTGGGGTTTTTTTGTTTGTTTGTTTTTTTTATTGTCAAGTGTGGTGTGCACACACGTAACTTTACTCTTGTGGATAGTCCCATTAATTCTAAATCAGTGATAACAAAAATGAACAACCAAAAGATGATGCATATGACTGAAGAATCAGTGCTTTTTCATTCAGAAACTAATGGAACTCAGGATTCTGTCATTTGCCCTGCATTAATAGCTGTTGACACTACTAATATCCAAGTGGTTTAGCAAGTACTGTAACAGGACAGATTTGAAATTTGCAGCTTGGTAGGGTAACAGATGCATTTTATTCTGGTCTGGGGTATTTAATTAAATGGTTTGCCTTTGTGTTATGTAATAATAGATAGCAACCTCCATTGATGATCTTTTCTAATGCACTCCAGCAGTAAATCCCTTCTAACTGTAATTTTAGAGAAACTTTTGCATTTAGGGGCTATATAAAAGTGCATCATTTCTTCTTTCCTAACCTTTAATGGGAATTAAGTATTAAGTTGAGTCTGCATCTTGTAAATAAATGTGCCATGAGCTCAGGTATGGCACATTGCAGTTCATCTGAATGAACTTTTCTTTCAGATGACAAAATCTGTTGTCGGCCCCTACATTGCACTTTAAAGCTTCCCTATTTTTTGTCCCCTCCCCTCCAAAGGTGTGTCTTGTTATGGAGTATGCTGAAGGAGGTTCTCTATACAATGGTGAGTATCTTTTCAACATAGTGTCTCCCTGGAGCTGAACTACTAGTGTTAGGAGAATCTTTATGTAAAATTGGTTTAATGTATATTTTAAAGAACATTTTATAACCAGCATAGTTTAAAAATTCCTCTAACCCACTGATTTTTTTTTTCTTTTTTTTTTGTATCAAATTATAAATTTTGTGCAAGTCTTAGGCAGACAAAGTTCTTTGAGTAAATGGGACAGACCAACTAAGTAGTTGGAAAAAATGTTCTTTGCAAGCTCTTGGGCACAAACACCCTTCTTCAGGTGTAGGGAAAGTTTTTTGACTTCCCCATTTCTTGTTAGTTCCCTTTATGATCATTTAATATAGATTGTGCTAGATATACCTGAAAATGGGCTTCTTTTATCATATGACTAGTTGTTTGCATAGCAGAATTTTGTATATTAAACACCTTTGTTAAGGAATTACTGTTTAAAAACTTTGACAGTCACTATTTGGGTAATCTCTGTTGCTCAAAATATGTGCAAGATTTCAACAGCAATGTTGAAGGGCACGAGTAAATAACCATTTCCATTTCATAGAGCTTCTTACGGTATGCTGTTAATTCCACTGTATCTGTTGTAATATGCAATAAAGTTCTTTTTAGTTTGTGTCTCTGTTTTGCAGTGCTGCATGGTGCTGAGCCTCTGCCTTATTATACTGCTGCACATGCAATGAGTTGGTGTTTACAGTGTTCCCAAGGAGTGGCATATCTCCACAGCATGAAGCCAAAGGCTCTAATTCACAGGGACCTGAAACCACCAAAGTAGGTTTCTAATTAGTGTTTAAATTTCTCTCTCCCTACCCCTTGTAAATTAGAATTGGGTCTCTCATAATTTGTTACTTGTGTTGGACTCAGATGGAGCCTTTAAATGATAGTTTACATCTAATAAGTTCAGTGTGATCTAATCTAAAGGCCATGAAATTGAAATTTCAGTTACAAAATGAAAATGCGTTGTTTTGTGTGCCACTAACAGTATACTTTTCACTGGCTAAAAATGGACATCTCATTTAGGCAGTTCTTTTTGGTCCAAGTCAAAACCTGGGACAGAAGAGCTGCAGAGCCCTTTGGACCCTGTAGCTTATCCCAGAAATTAATGCCAGTTAACAGTAATAAGCTGTGACTTTTCTGGTGAAAAAGTATTAGCACATTTTATCTTGCAAACTTCCCAGGTACTGAAAGTGGGAAAATAGGCTTGTATGTCTGTAGGATCCCAAGACAAAAGGCTTTCTCCAAGGAGAAATGTGATGTCTGTTTTAAGCCTATACTGTTTTAAGCCTACACAGAAATAAATCCTATTCCTGTTCTTGCATCCTAATCCAATTCTCACATCATGGAAGTAGGTTTTTCATTAGGACAGTTTTACCAAACAAGAACATTTAAAAGGACTTGCTATCTACTATCAGTGTTCTTCCTTTTTAAGCAAAGGACGTGGGGGTTTGAGTCTTTCTTCCTTCCCAAATTTTGATGCATAGTATCATTGACTGCTTGTTTATTTATCCATTTCATCTGAAGAAAAGGTTGTGAGGTAGTCCTATTGAGTGTGTTGGTCATTCTTCTTCTGGCAAGGGATCAGCCATGATGTCAGGCCTTCTGTCTTTTGAGCTCATACAAAATGTTGGTGAACAAGCATCTGAATGATTTTATCACCCTTGGATGCTTAGTTGATTGATATAACTGTTCCTTAAAAAAACTATTTTTGTGTATAAAATTCCACGGCATAAATAATTAGTAAATTACTTTATTTTGTGGAGCATGCGTTTAAATTTAAAAGCAGTCCATATGCTTAGATAAACCACTAATACAACATAAAGGAATGGTAAGGGCACTTTATATATAAAGTATTGGGAATCAAGACCTTAAGATTCATTCTAACGAATGGCTAAAATAGTGATATTTTATTACAAGACTACTAAATTGTTTAATTTTGGGGTTTTCTTGACAGCTTGCTGTTGGTAGCTGGGGGGACAGTTCTAAAAATCTGTGATTTTGGTACGGCCTGTGATATTCAAACACACATGACCAACAATAAGGGAAGTGCTGCTTGGATGGCACCTGAAGTTTTTGAAGGTAACAAAGTAACTTATGATCTTGACTTTATGTACCTGCTACTTAAGGACATTTTGAGTGAGTTTTAAGTTTTATAGGAATAGGAATTAAGGAATAACCATGGTGAGAAATAGCCTTTTACTTTCATTTGAAAATTAGGGTTCAAACCTGCCATCCAAATATGTATATGAAAGAAATTTACATACATGTCAAGGTTTGATATTTTACTTTGACAAATGGCTAAACTGGATGGCCTGTAATAGTAAACCTGGGGTTGTGTTAGCATTAAGCAGCCTCCAATTATGTAAAGATTTGTACTGGTAATGTTATATACATCTTTATTGGGCTGACTTAAATAGTCAATTCAAGATGATGTCTGTCTCAAGGTAGTAAGTGTAACATGCCTAAAATTTACTGTGGATATATTAGTATTTTCCCAGTATAATATGGTTTCTGAGATTCAGAAATAACCTTAGATTCTTGTAACATTAAAATATCATTCCTTTTACCACATATTCTAATTGGCTTCAGTCTTCAGAGTTCCCTTTGATTCCAGCTCTGCCCTTAACAATGCTTTACCTTTCTGCAGCTCTAGCAAATTTACAAAGTTAAGGTCTATTGCTATTACCAGGGATCCTGGTTTTCTCTGATAAAAAAAAATCCCCAGTTTTTGGATTGA